GTGCACTCAATGCTCATAGTTCACACACACACAGCCCACGGCTGGCTTGTCACATCTCCACATTCTCATTACTCAAGGCTCAGGGGCACTCAGTTCCTATGTGGCAGCTCCTGACATAGAAGAACAAAATTAGACCCTTATCTGTCACCTTCCACAAAAGTCAAYTTAAAGTGAATCAAAGACCTTGGAATTAAACCAGAAACCATGCAACTCCTAGAAGACAATGTAGGGTCACACTCCAGCTTTACGGTACAGGCAATGGCTTTCTCAATAGGACCCCTACAGATCAGGAAATAATACTAGAGATAATAAATGGGACAGCACCAAATTAAAAACTTTTACACAGGAAAGGAAACAATTAGGAATGTGAAGAGAGAACCCATAGAATAGGAGATTATCTTTGCTAGCTACTCTTCTGATAGAGGATTAATATCTAGAATATATAAAGAGCTAAAAATACACTGAAAAAATCACATAATGCAATGAATAAATAGGCAAATGAATTAAACAGACACTTCTCAAAAGAAGAAATACAAATGATCAACAAAAACTTAAAAGATGTTTAACATCATTAGCAATTTGGGAAATGTAAATCAGAACTACGTTAAGATTTCATCTCATACCAGTCAGAATGGCAGTCATCAAGAATACCAATAATAAATGCTGGAGAGGATGTGGCGAGAAAGGTACACTTTTACACTGTTGGTTGAACTATAARTTMGTACAACCACTGTAGAAATCAGTATGGAGGCTTCTCAAAAGCTTAGGCATGGAACCACCATGTAACCCAGCTTTAACCACTTCTCATTATTTATCCTGAAGAATTAAAGTCATCTTACTGCAATGATACATCCCTACCCATGTTTGTAGTAGCATAATTCACAACAGCTAAACTATGAAACCAGCCCTAGGTGTCCATCAAAACAGATTAATGGAGAAAGAAAATGTGGTCTATACAAACAATGGAGTTTTATTCAGCCATAAAGAAAAATGAAATTATGTCATTTGTAGGAAAGTGGATGGAACTAGAGACCAACATGTTAATTAATCAAATTAAGTCAAACTCAGAAGGTTAAGGGTCATGTTTTCTCTCATGCAGAAGCTAGAGAGGAAAAAAGGAAAACAAAGGTGGGGGTGGATTTCATAAAAAGCAAAAGAAAATCAGTAGAGAAAAGTGACCAAGGGATGGGAGGGGGAAGGGGGGAAGTGCTGGGAGTGATATTGGCCAAATCATATTCTTAYATTTTGTGCATGTGTGAATATGTAACTACAAATTCTATCAATATTTACAACTATAATGCTCCAGTAGAAAAAATGTGGAAAAAAACAAAAAAAAAAAGAAATAATATTTTCTGCATTTAAGACAGTTAAAGTCTTACTGGGGTAGAGGATTACACAGAGCAAAGCCAGCAGGTATTGTGTGATTGGTTATTTCTTATTARGCTGGAATACTTCTCATAGAGAATAAGACTCCTAGGTGGTGCTGATACTGCTGGTTGGTTGGACAAACATTGAGCAAGGGTTTTGAATTTTGGGCTTTGAATGGTAATTAGTATCTATAATCATCTCCTTCCTTCAACAGGTTCCTTTGACCCCCCACCCCTACCCGAACATACACACTGGTGGACTTGACATCACTCTAATGCCGAGTTTCCTGAACTTTTGTGCCCATTTAAAATAACCTGGGAAGAATTAAAGATTCCTTATGTGCAGGTCACACCCTATACCAATYACATCACAGTGTCCAGGGGTCAGTAGTTTTAAAAGATCCCCAGATTTTTATAGTATGCAACAGTTTTTGACCCATTCCCTAGTATTTAACTCTCTCATGACTTAGGGAGATAACACTCCAAGAGGTAAACAGTGTTGAGGTGTTTATTTTTTGTGTGTGTATGTGACAGGATTGGTAAAACCATCTGAATTTCCACCAGTGATTCTGGAACAAAAAGCCCTCCTGGAAGTAATGGATCAGTTAAAACGTTCACCTTCGGGACTGGACTTTGTATTACAGAACACTGTCCCATGGGGAGTAGCATTTCATCATGCAGGTATTCCATATTTATAATCTATTATCAAGAAACCCTCTCTAAAAATTCTTAAATTTCTTCATTTTGATATTTGTGTGTACTTTTAATAAGTACACAAGACATATCTTATTATTATTAACAAATATTTTTTAAATCTCAATATTCTTATATTTCATTTTAAKAAATTGCATGATTAAGTTAAGTAAACTTGTTTGTTTTATTCTTATTTGTCTATGTAGTGTATAGTACTATATAAAGGCTTTTTTGAATCAAGTAAATTCTAAAATTATTATGTTTCTATACTGTTTCCTTAAAATTTAGAGTATGCTTGCTACTTTTATGCCATCTGAATGTATCTTTTTATCTCAGAGTACTGAAATATTCTCAGAGATATCAAAATCAAATTTATTTTAGAAATTGTGATAGAGCATTTGGAGAGGGCTAGAATGTTTAAAATCAGAGATTATGGCAGTCATTGAATTAAATAACTTTTTTTCAGGAAGTGTTCTATCCATGATCATATGTGCTAAGGATGTGATAAAAAATATATAGTTTCTACGGTTGAGAATTTAACCTTTTAAACTTATTTTAAGTATTTATCAGTACATATATAAAATGGTAAYTGTTATGTGATTTTTAATCATGATGTATACATGTACGTATAATACACCTATGTATATATCATGATACAAAATTTAAAATAAATTTTACTAAACCTACTAAATTTATTTAAATTTTCTAAAATTTAAAATTTATTTTAAAATAAATTTAAAAGAACACCCAAAAGAATAGGGATTGGGAAACTGTAGTATGCTACAAATTTAGCTTGCCATCTGTTTTTTTTTAAGTTTTATTGGAACACTATCATGCCTATTTGTTCTGTGTCTGTTTTTATGTGACAGTGGCAGGGTAGAATAGTTACAACAGAGTTTACCTATTCTGCAAAATCTAAAATATAGGAAAAATTTGTTGACCCCAGATCTAGAAGGTATAGTAGGGGTGGCAGATTATGCTCTTAAATAAATAGACTGATGATTTTTTTTGTTGTAACAATAGCTAAAGAAAATCTTTAGAGGCTTGTATATTGTTTTAAGTTATCAAGTATATTTTCATTATATGTTAATAAATATGTTTTTGGAACCCCCTTTTCTTTTCAGGGCTTACTTTTGAGGAGAGAGATATCATTGAAGGAGCCTTTCGTCAAGGTCTCATTCGAGTCTTGGCAGCAACTTCTACTCTTTCTTCTGGGGTGAATTTACCTGCACGTCGTGTGATTATTCGGACTCCTATTTTCAGTGGTCGACCTCTAGATATTCTTACTTACAAGCAGATGGTTGGTCGTGCTGGCAGGAAAGGAGTTGATACAATGGGTGAGTTTGAATTTAATTGTAGTAGCATTACAAAAGGACAGTGTCAAACTTGAAATTTTGACTAGTACTTGGCCCCATTTCTCATTGTACTGTTTCTTCATTATCCAGTGTACTTGGACATGTCATCCTTTTGGATTCACTTAATATTTATAGTGAATGTCAGTTACAATTTTCACATATTGTCAACCATTGGTTTTCTACTAATGTAGAATTAAGATTTTCTTTTGTAGTATATACAGTGAAATGATTCAGTGTTACATAAATCAAGATGATTTCTTATTACATTAGCTGGGACATGATTTTTAGTTTGCAAATATAGTCTACTCTTTTTTAAAATCTTATTTATTTTTACTTATATATAATAGTAGAATGCATTACAATTCTTATTACATATATAGAGCTCAATTTTTCATATCTCTKATTGTATACATAGTATACTCATACCAATTCATGTCTTCATACATATACTTTGGATAATAATGATCATCACATTCAACCATCATTAATTGAGACATGATTTTTAGTTTGCAAGTATAGTCAACTCTTTAATTCTAATTAATTTTCATAGATATTAATTCTATTTAGGTATATGGTCTCAGAAATCAGACTGGGATTTTAAGAGCTGAGAAGCATCCTCACACTTTTTGAGTAGGCATTTTATTCTTTTTTTAAGTTTATTTATTTATTCTAATYAGTTATACATGACAGTAGAATGCACTTCAATTCATTGTACACRAATGGAGCACAATTTTTTACTTCTCTGGTTGTACACAAAGTAGTCACACCATTTGTATCTTCATACATGTACCTAGGGTAATGATGTCCATCTCCTTCCACCAGCTTTCCTATCCCCATGCCCCCTGCCTTTCCCTCCCTACCCTTTGCCCTATCTAAAGTTCCTCCATTCCTCCCATAATCTCCCCCCACYCCCATTATGAATCAGGATCCACTTATCAGAGAAAACATTCAGTCTTTGGGTTTTTAGGATTGGCTTTCTTCACTTAGCATGATATTCTCCAACTCCATCCATTTACCTGCAAATGCTATGATTTTATTCTCTTTTAATGCTGAATAATATTCCATTGTGTATATATTATATACCACAGTTTCTTTTCCTTCTTTTTTTAGAGAGAGAGAGAGAGAGAGAGAGAGAGAGAGAGAGAGAGAGAGAGAGAATTTTAATATTTATTTTTTAGTTTTCGGCAGACACAACATCTTTGTTTGTATGTGGTGCTGAGGATCGAACCTGGGGGAGCGTGCTACCGCTTGAGCCACATCCCCAGCCCATACCACAGTTTCTTTATCCATTCATCTATTGAAGGGCATCTAGGTTGGTTTTGGTTCCACAGTTTAGTTATTGTGAATTGTGCTACTATAATTATTGATGTGGCTGCATCCTTGTAGTGTAGTATTTTTAAGTCCTTTGGGTATACAAWGAGGAGTGGGATAGCTGGGTCAAGTTCCAGGTTTTCCAAGAAATCTCCATACTGCTTTCCAGATTGGTTGTACCAATTTGCAATTCCACCAGCAATGTATCAGTGTGTCTTTTTCTCCACATCCTCGCCAACAATTATTGTTGTTTCTCTTCTTAATAGCTGCCATTCTGAGTGGAGTSAGATGAAATCTTTGAGTAGTTGATTTRCATTCTTTAATTGCTAGAGAGGTTGAACATTTTTTCATATATTTGTTGATCGATTATATATCTTCTTCTGAGAGTGTCTGTTCAGTGCCTTAGCCCATTTATTGATTGGGTTATTTCTTTTTTTGGTGTTAAGTTTTTGAGTTCTTYATATATTTTGGAGATTAGTGCTCTATCTGATGTGCATGTGGTAAAAATTTGCTCCCATTCTGTAGGCTCTCTCTTCACTGATTGTTTCCTTTGTTGAGAAGAAGCTTTTCAGTTTGAATCCATCCCATTTATTGATTCTTGATTTTATTTCTTGTGCTATAGGAGTCTTGTTAAGGAAGTCAGGACCTAATCTGACATGATGAAGATTAGGGCCTACTTTTTCTTCTATTAGGCGCAGGGTCTCTTGTCTAATTCCTAGGTCCTTGATCCACTTTGAATTGAATTTTGTGCATAATGAGAGATAGTAGCTTAATTTTATTTTGTTGTGTATGGATTTCCAGTTTCCCCAGCACCATTTGTTGAAGAGGCTATCTTTCCCCCAATATATGTTTTTGACTCCTTTGTCTAGTATGAGATAACATATTTATTTGGGTTTGTCTCTGTGTCCTCTATTCTGTACCATTGGTCTACAAGTCTATGTTGGTGCCAATACCATTCTATTTTTGTTACTGTTACTCTGTAATATAAATGTAAGGTCTGGTATATTGATGCCACCTGGTTCTTTCTTCTAGATAAGGATTGCTTTGGCTATTTTGGGTCTCATATTTTTCCAGATGAATTTCATGATTGCTTTTTCTGTTTCTATGTGGAATGCCATTGGGATTTTGATTGGAATTGCATTAAATCTGTATAGTGCTTTTAGTAGTATGGTCATTTTGAYAATATTAATTCTTCCTGTGAGTAGGCATTTTATATTCCACTTTTTCCTCCCGATTGGTTCTGGCTCTGAAAACACCCTTTCAGTTTCTTATCTTGTACTGATAAACAATGATAYTACCAGCAGTCCATACAAAAGTTTTTGACTTAAGCAATGAAGAAACTGGTTTCAACTAAATATCAAGAGAGGAAAAAAAATATTATTTTGAATCTGCTATACCATTGAGATCATTTGATGTTTTACTAAATTGTTAAAGAAACGTAGGAAGAATATTCTCTGTTATTTCATCTTTCTCCTATAGGAATGTTATACTATATATGCCCCCCCCAAAACAAAAACAAAAACAAAAAAACCCATCAACATCAAAAAAACCAATAAAAAACTTTGCAACTACTAAAGAGAAATTAAGAAATCCAACAGAGAAACAAAATGTGTTAATGGAAAAATAGGTGGGTTATTTTGGGTACTAAAAGCTGAGTAGATACTGAGGAAGTGACTTTTAGAACCACCCAATTTTTCACATGAACTCCCCAACTATAGTTGATTCTTATTATTTACAGATTCTGTATTTGTGAAATTCCCCATTTATTAGAATTTGCTCAGAAATCTGGGGCCTTATTTTATTTTTTATTCAGAATTCTGGGGGTTTTGCAGATATATACAAAGCTGCAAAAAATCTGAATCTTTGCAAGTACACTTTTCTGCTGAGGTCATAAGTCTGCCTTCTTCCTTCAGCTCCTCTACTGTAAATAAACATTCTTTTAGGGTCTATTTAGTGCCACATTTTAAATAATTTTATGTATTTTTGTTTAAAATGATTTCTAGATATAGTGTTAAACTTCTAGCTAGTAATTCCTTTCTGCATTAAGTCTAGATGTACCTTCTAGAAAAATATTTTAAATTAGCTTTGTTCAGGCATGAGCTATAGGAGTGTTGTCAGTAAGTGCAGTTAATAAATCAATAATATTAAATAACATATCTTTAAGCAGAGACGGATGAAACAAGGTTTAGTGTTCAATGATGAAAAGGTTGTGACTTTTAGTCCTAGGCTCACAGGAAATTCCTCTGTTCTCCCTCTGTGCAATGATACAGAATTTCATCTTTTGGTGACTCTATAGAATGTAACTACCACAGATAACAAGAATTGACTATGATTTATTGGTGACTGGATTAGTTAGAATGTAAATTTATTGCTATAATGAAAGTCAAYATATGTAAATAATATAGAATTAAATTCTTCCTCCCTCTCTTCCTTCCTTCCTTTCTTTCCTTTTTGTTACTGGGGTTTGAACCCAGGGGCATTTTACTATTGAACAATATCCCCAGTCCTTTTTAATTTTTTTAATTAATTTTTTTTTTTTTTTGAGACAGAGTTTCAGTAAATTGSTAAGGGTCTTGGTAAGTAGCTGAGACTGGCCTCAAACTTGGGATCCTTCTGTCTCAGCCTCCTGAGAAATTAGTTTCTTTCTCATAATGGTTTGCCACCTGGGGTTGATATGCTGGTGCAACGTGTTAGACACTTCGTCTTTCATTTTGTTTTTCCAACAATATAGTATAGTTTCTATCCTTTGGCACAGTCTCTTTCATCATTTGCATTTGAAACATCAGGAAGAGGGAGATGAGGAAATAAACACATGCCCAGCCTTTAATGGGTACCACCTAGAAGTTGCCTATAATATTTCTCCTCACATACAGTTAACCAGAACTTAGTCATATGATTATATTCCCCAATTGTAAAGGGGCTGGGGAATCTAATCTTTAGCTGAGTGGCTTGTGCTGGACTTAAGGGTTTTATTAAACGAAGACTGAGAGGATGGGTATTTGGACACAACTGTCATTCTCAGACCCAGCAACAAATGACTCATTTTACAATCTCTGAAGGATTATTGCTCTGCTTCTTTTTTAAGCCCTAAAAATTTTGATGATTAAAAAAGCTTCCAAATTATTAGATTTCCCTTATGATAGGTATCAGAGAAATTTATCCTGTTTTTCTCTCATTTTACTACAAATTATGCAAATGGTATGTTTTATAAGGGTGGGGAAAAAAGTAAGGTACTCCTATTCCTAATTGCCTCACCCTACCCTTCTCCAAACTGGTTTCTCAGTAGATTCACAATTCTAGAGAAAGAAATGTAAGTCTTTTTTTTATGTAGATATTCTTCCTTCCGGTCCAGAGGGCCTTTAAGTTAACAAAAAAGATAAGGAGGTCTTATTTACCTTAGCTTGTGTTTATCATATGAAGAACAATTGGAAGATTGGTTCTCTGGGTTAATTATGAAGCCTTAAGTCATATGGTATTACATCAGAATTAAAAATACCTTAATAACTTCATTTTTTAATTCTTGAAGTCTTTTGAGCTTTTGACCTTGCATTCCTATCAGGATGGCATATAACTTGCTCAGAACTTTAAGCAAGTAGGGAATGTGGGAATATGATGTTTTATATTCACCATGAAGATTTAAATGCTTAGTTTCGCTTTTCATACTGTGTAGT